TGATATTTTTGTTATATCTATGAATAAAAAGAAATTTTAGCGCAACAGCTCGTCCTTCCAACTTCGAGAGCGCATATTCTTGGCTGAAACTAAGTGCGGAATGGCAGAAGAATGACAAAATACTACATGAACGGGCTATAAAATCATCCTGTGGACAAGAACAAAAGCATTGAGGGATAAATGAATAATCGGCAAAAAATGATGATTTCCGAGACAGTTAAATAATTTGAAGCCGATTTGAGGGATAAATGAATAATCACACTGAGGGATAAATGAATAATCGGCAAAAAATGATAATTCCCGAGACAGTTAAGTAATTTGAAGCCGATTTTTGCATGGCGGGTTTTCGTGGACCGATAATCGTGTAATTACTTCAATTTGATAAACCAAAGTTGAGGCGAAGGAACGCAACAAATATCGCAATCAGGCTGACCATTGGGCGATATTACCATTGGTTAAAGCAACTACAAAAGTCGCCAGCTGCTTAGTTGGAGAGCAACTGCAGCTGATCAATGTGAAGTAAAATATCCCAGCCCGGAAATTTAGCGGAAATGAGGGACAGCAGTACCGTAGAAGAACGTCTGTGCACAGAATTATCGAAATCAATACGCGAAAAGTATTAATACACCAGCAGATTCAGCCTCAAATCTTAAACAGTTCGCCCGGGATATTCTGCCGACCCTAAATCCCTTATACTAAGAGAGGCTTTCTGGGATTCGAAGGTCTATCCGCTCTGGGTGCTTCATGCTGGCTAAGCTTGTTCGACCAAAATCCGATGTTTCCCTTGTTTAAAGACATTCATCTCCAAGAAGTGCAGAATTGCCTTGTAATATACGACTGCCGATTGCAAAAGGCCAGAAAATTGTTGCGCTTTAACATGCAACCAGTAGTCACAGTAAAAAGCTTGTTCAGCTGAAACAGTGCGATAGGCTGCGCGAAATCGCTAGCGAACAAAACGGGAAGTGCCGAAGAGGACTATCGTCAGGCTGCAGCAGATGCCTGTAATAAAACCACGAAAATCTTTGACTGTGTGCGATGAAAAATGGCAGCGCAGTGACTGACAATAAATACAGTGTAAAATTAAAT